ACAAATAAGTCAAATTTACATTCTTGTAAATTACTTTCTATTTTTTCCTGAACCAAAAGACTGAATTTGGTTATGAACTCAATAAATATAAAAAATCATTTGGTAGAGGAGGAATCTACCAAGATTCGTTGATCATTCAATGTCCTGTTCCCTGTTAAAGTGTCTTTTCTCATCTATCTTGTCTTGTCGTATATTTACTTTCTGAGCAAGATTTTCTATTCAATGTCATGTCATATTAAAACTTTTCGTAAATATTTGGCACTTATTATTAACTTCTGAAAATTTGAAGAAAATGAAAAACTCGAAAGTCACTCTTCTTGATTGAAAATTAAGATAGCAGGGAACAGTATAAATTAGTCAGTTCAACTTTCGGTTGTGTCAGATATAATAAAAAATAAATAGTTCCTATTAATTACTGTAGCTAACAATAATACTGCTAGTACTTATTGTTACTAGCAGTATTATTGTTAGCTACAGTAATTATAAAGTCACAGAGAAAACAATCAGTTATTTGGTAAAATATTTCGAAAGAGGGTAATGTAATTTTTTTCTAGAATGAAAGTTCAAAATATTTACTTAGGCTTCTTGTTGCTCGATATATATAATTATCATGAAAGGAGGATCTTCATAATCTCGTAATATTTGTAATGTTTTATCGCATACATCATCAATCATAACGACCATCACCATCAAATTTGTCATAGTTATCTTCATTATCATTGTCGTCATCTTTCTGCAGTACTTAACGTTCATATTTATTGCAAATGTGCTTCGCCAATTCTTTCCCAGTTCTTCTTTTAACGTCCCTTTGGAGAAAATTCGTTTCTCCCATCCATTGATATTTAGTGAAACATAATTATTTTCATTTTCAAGTTTCATTCTGTTCAACTTTCTTTAGAATTGAAATGTTCATTTAGTGAATTTATTTTATGTGGAAATAATCTCCATGACACTCTATCATCTGTGATTTTCACGGCAACTGTTTCCTGCTTTAAACTGTAGTACTAAGTGTTTTTATAAATTCCGATTTCCATGGGAGCAAAAAAATAATATATATTGACGGGCGTAAAATTTTATTGCAGCTACTATTTTAAATATGTAAGTTAAGTAGATATATTAACAAGCAGCAGTAATAAACATTAATATAATTTGCAAACTGTTTCATTTCCCTGGTATAATGGTTTGTTGATTTCATAATGGTTTTAAACTCTCGGCATATACCGTTGTTCTGTTTATCAGCTTCCACTTTAAGACTTATAATAAAAAGATCATACGAAGGAAAGGTATTAGTGGTTTGTCGGATTGGATATGGTTCAAATGCGTTTCGTTTTCTTTGGGAGGGGCGATGAAATCATTTGAAATGATACTCAGAATTCCACTTTTTTTGTTGGTTTCGTTGTCGCATATAAAACAAAAATATATCTTATTCTTTTCGGTACCAACCTTAAATCATTGGAAGACTGCATCAGTTGAAAAACCAGACTTACTAGTGTAATATTAATTTGCATTCAGTTTTGTCTTCATCAAGATTTTTTGGATAACTCATGTCTCTCTCTAATAATCGATATAATAATGAATGAAAATATTTGCCTTTCTCACCAGCATCTTTTAAAATTAGTTCACATTCTTTGTTGACAGAAATGGTGTTTATACGTTCGAGTTGCACGTGGTTAGATATAGACTCTTAGTTTTGGTCCTACATCTGGCGTGAATTTAGTGGGATCATGTGGTTTATAATAATGAAAAGAGTATTTGCTGCAGCAGACATTAATCGTAAATAGAGCAACGAAAAGCAACAAATTAACGATAAAATTGACAATCCAATTAATACCCATTTATACTTTTTGTTGATGACAAATTATTTAATAACTGCATTTTTAAGACTGAGTTTTCTTAGAAGCGTGGTTTGAGAAACTGTTCAGTACATAGCTAAAATTCGCATTTTTTCCTTCTTTCCACTTCGTTCTTCATTCTCCATTGTTTGTTTTTCGTGTCTGTTTTGCCATCCTTAATGGATTTTTCTTTATTCTAATTGTAACTTTTGCTCTTCTTTAGTCCTTGAATTATTCTTTTGATAATATCATTTGTGTTTGGAACTTCGACGTTTTAAGAGCTTAAGATAAAAACTTGAGCTCTTTTGTGCATAAATATTCTAGAATTTTACTTGCATTTTTTGTCTCTAATTTGACAACCTTATGAATAACAAAAATGTAAAAATTGAATTAATTAGGATGAAATAAATAACAGTGGCAGTGTGTAGATTTAGTGATGAGACAACTTCATAATTATAGATTGAATTAATTATTCGGAATATCTCTTTTCCATTCTGTTAGAATAAAAGATATTTCATCATATTGGGCAAATTGAGCACATTTGAGATTGCTTCCTTTCCAATCCATCGAAGGACTTCATCATTTTGCACTGTTAAATTTTCATGTTATCTGTCACGTTTTCTTTTCCTCTATCTATTTTTCCTGTTTTCTTGCTGGAGGTATTCCAGCGCCTATCTTGAAAAAGCAAATTTACTCATAATATTAAGTATTTCATCGAAGATTGATGGTATTTCTTCAGTAATTCAGCAGAGGTTTGTAAAGTTGTTCTGCCATCTGAAGGCTAAATGTTTCCAGTTTATTAGATTAATTTCTTATTCTAATTATAATAAGCTAAAGTTAGTGTACTGTGTGCTATTAATGCTCTGATTTTGTTAATTGATCATAAATAAGATATTGGAAAAAAATGAGTGTGTTGCAAGCACTGCATCACAATTAGAGGTTTAATTGCTTGATATTTGATTACAGGAGTGTTTGACCATGAGGATAGATAGTTATTACCAGGGAAGGATGGAAAAATGATTTGAAGTTGAAGAAATTATTCTCTTTAATCCAGTAGTAATTGTGGCAGTAACGGTAGGAAGTAGTTTTGGTCTTTTTGAGTTCGTTCACATTTCATTCGAACTCATTTGGCTTTTCAAGGCTATCCTTTCATTTTTCTTCCGAATTATTGTCATCATCGCGAGCAGACAATATTAGTTTTGATTTTCCATTCCGAGTTCTGCTTGATTCTTTCATCTTTTTCAAAATCGTATTTCCGTTTTTTGGTTTTAGTGATTTTTCTAGTATGCTTATCAAGCCTTTATGAAGCTATAATCTCGATTCCAATTTATAAGTTAATAATTATAAATTACTCTATGATCCATTGAATTTAAATTCTTCGTTGTTATTAAGAAACACACTGGAGTACTTCATTTCTGCTTGAAAATACGCATGCTTTAATCATTTTTATTTTATTTTGCCTTCTCTTTTTAATAGTTTGCTTTTGTTTTCAAAGTTTATTTTGAGAAAGATTTTGTGACCAAAATATTTAGTAGTTAAGTTAGAAATTGTTTTATAGTCAGAAAAAATAAATTTTAGGTAGCAGCTGATTAGAGCAATTTTCCCTAATTGCACTGTTTTTATGGAATGTGTCTGATGGATTTAAGAACTTTCATCCTCGGTTTTTGTATTTGTGGAACTTTTATATTTCTTGGTTAGGCTTATTGGTCCAATGATGTAATTAATTTTGTAGCATTGAAATATGTTGTCGCTTAGATGAACCTATGAATAACTTATTTCTTGCTTTGTGAATGTTAGATTCATAATTGCTTTCCGCATTTACAATTTCTGACAATACTCCTTGTCTTGGTCCACTTGTATTTTAGTTTTTCAGAAGATTTTTAATTTTTCTTCATCGCTTTATTTTGGAAAATACGGTTTCATTGAATTATGTAAATTTGATAAGAAAATTCATGTAGTGATGCTTTTGATGTTTCGATTAAAACAATAAATTATATTGTCGCCCGTCATCTCTACTGTAAAATTTTTTTCCGCCATTTCAGGTTTCACAGTGAGAAACACTCCAGAGAACGAGTTTTTGCCCACACCAGTAGTAACACTGACTCATTATCATCAACTTCTACCCAAACTTATGCATGGAGCCCATCTGTTGTTAAACGAGGTAAATTTTAGATGTGCATGATTTTTTTGTCGGTATTTTTATCCTTCGATATCGATTATTCCTATACTTTCTGAATATGGCTATGTAAACACTAAGTTTGTTGCGATTTGTTTCGCATCATCATATAATTTTTGTGAGGACCTATTAAAATTCATTGCATGGACGATGTATGTTTTATCATATCTCTTTCTAATTAGGTAATATTAGTAAGCGATCATGATCAGGTGTAACTTGCAAACCATACGCCTCTGATTCTTTTTTGGAAGAAATAATTGAGCTGGTCCTTACACTGTGATGAAATATGAAATTAACGTTTTTCAAAAATATTATTAGTAATTCTGAAGTGAGATATGTGATAAACAACTAATAGTTTTTAGAAGAAACGAGATAACATAATGTATGTGTTTGTGTGAAATAGAGTTCACTATAATGTGTAAAAGTGTCAAGTTTTTCAAGACAATGGCTGATGTTGCGTTTACCTTTTCCCTAAAATCAGTTTTGAGAATCACTTTGAGAATCATTGAATCATTAGAATGTTGCATTTATGGCTGGCTACAAAAGGGGTAGAAAGGTGTTGGAAATGATTGGCAGTTATGAATTATTGCTGCTATGAGTTTTGAATTTACTATTTTTTATAAAATCATACATTACGTTGTTTGATTTGATTAGTACTCGTTCTTGTAATTTTAGATTGGATTCTATTAATTTTATCAGAAATTTCATTTAGAAAGTCAGAAACGTTTTAGAATATTTCCAGGATCTTCCTTTGCTTATAATGTTTCTTCATCGTCCAGTGGCAACATCAACAATGATCGCTTAATTTGTACTGAGAATACTTTTGCTAAAGAGCAAACAGTAGTTTGGTCAGCAGTAAACAGTGAGTTGAAAAATCGTCAAAAAATTGCCAAGGTTTGGCTTTTACTGTACGTAAATTACGCTTTATTTATAGAGCAGTAGTCATTACTGCCATTTCTTCATATTAATTCTGTTGTAGATAAATTTTGAGCTTCATTTCTTTTGAAACGAAGATTTATATATCCGATTATTAATGGAATAGATCGTCCACTACGCAAGAATTTCTCTTTTCATTTTTTTGTCTTTTCCCTTGATAAAACGATATATCAGTATCGTGATAAGTATACTTTTTTTCATTTTATATTTCGATAAGTATACTTTTTTTTTTGTTTGTTAATCACTCTTACTCAGTAGCTGTCAGCAAGTTATTGTTAATAGTTTTGCTACCATTTGCATTATTGATACCATTTCTAATAATATTCGTAAGTGTAACTAATATAATTATTGCAATAGTTTTTTTTAGTAATAAGAGTAAAATATTTTTCTGTTTGGTTGTGCCATTTTCATTCAATCCGTTCCAGCAATTAGTGACATACTCATTTTTTTGTTTCAATCATATAGCCATTCTGCTCCCATCTTCAATATTTCGTTCGTTTAGCCAAATTTGTTTTGCTTTTGAAAATCAAGTTTTTCCTTGTCTCTTTATTTTCCACTGTGATTAAGGGAATGGAAGTCAATATTATGTTTCAAAAAGAAGTCATTTATAGATTTTTCCAATCACTTTTTATTTGTAGGTCCGACCAACTCCACAAGTGCCTTTGTTAAAGAAAAGTTTAACTGCGGTGGCGATTGGAAGTCCGTTACAAAATAAATTGCATTCTTGTGGAATGATTAGTGGAAATGGCAATCTAGGTTGTGCTTGACTTTAATAAATATGGATTTCCAGTGCTTCCGAGTTTATTGCATAATAAAAAGTTTTTCCGTTTAAAATATGTTTGAAGTGAAAAAACTTGTTAAATAAGCCATCCATTTCATCAATTTTTTTTTGGATTTTTCATTATTTCAAATCTCAATCCCTTTTATACAAAAGGAGGATTATTCTAAACGTTGTCAGATATTACTTTGATTTAAACGAGATTCTTTTAAGGGAAAAAGATTGAAAAATCATATTTCAGCGTTGTCAAAAGCCTTCCCTCAGCAATCGTCATCATCTGAGAGTCCTATTCATTTACGACAACATAATTATGATGATATGCCTGTTTGCAGCGACAGTGCTTGCGAAAGTTTAACATCTGAATATGCTCATTTATCGGAATCCATTGATACGTCAATTAAAGCAGATTTAATTGGTCAGTTTAAAAATAATTTTAAAAAAATTATCAGTTTAAAAATAATTTTAAAAAAAATTATTTTAAAAATCTTGATAACTTCTTGATTAAATTCCTTGATAAGAAATAGGGAGCATGCTTTATTGCTATCTGATGTATGATCGCATCATAAGTGCTGTTCTATAACAAAAAATTGTCAATAGAGTTTACAGTAGTTAAGAGCAATGAGTATTTGAAATTACCCTGAAATGATTTCATATATTAATTACTTTATTATGAATTTTGAATTCTGAATATGGTTATTTAATTGAATTAATAAACGAATTGGATCATGAAAATGTCAATCTATAGTTGAAGGCAATTTTTGTTTGGAAAAACGATTTATTTTCAGTGAAAACAGGCTCTTCAAGTCAAGACCAAAATGGAAAAGATGATGATGATGTTAGTATTGCTGGAACAGTCTTCAACGAACCGTGGGATTCCAATGTTTGGGAGAATTTATTGGATTTGGCGCATTATGGGGATGAGAAACCATCCACTCTTACAAGGCACAGCGATATGAATCAAATAGGTTAATTTTTAATATTGTATTATAAGTTTTAGCTTGAAATACAAAGGAGATCTTTCAACCATTCGCACGCGGTTAAAACGAATAGTTGAGAGATCTCTTTTGGACGAAAAAATTTAGTGGGGTTTTTTAATAGTCTTGTTTTTATCTATTTCGAAACAGTAGTATGAGAATAGTATTTCTGATATAGCTATATTTCGCATCATTGTTATTAAAATTGTAGCATAATATAGGTAAGTAACATTTGATGTTTTGTTCATTTTAAATTTATTATACATCGTGCTGTAACAGTAGTGATTTTGTTTTTATTTAGGCGAAGTGATTATTGAAGAAGGTGACGATGAAGTGATTTGTTCGCTAGAAATGAGTTATAATGGTGAAGAGGGAAAAAATTTGCAGAAATTACAGCCCATTACTAATGTGAATAATAGTCAAAGTATGATTATTTGTTTGTTTTAGAAATATTTATTTTCCTCTTGTTTTATTATATGTGACAAGGAATTTCTTGGATTATAGATAATAATATCGAGTTGATATTTCTAAACTTACGGAATTAATATTTATTGCATTTAGAAGCTTAAATTTTCTATGATATTTTAAGACAACGGCGACTACGGTGTAGTGATTCGAAGGTTTGATAATCATCATCTAAACAGTAACGCAGAGTCAGATGGTCGACGTAATGGTATTATAAATATTAATGCGCATTTGAAAAGCGAAGATAGCTTAGATAAGCAACAGCAACTTGAAACAATCTGGTTGGTTCCTTTTCATGCAGAATTTATAACTTATTTTTTAATCAGTTTTGTTTCATTTGATAGGATTATTTATTCAGATTCTTGCATTGCATTTCTTTGATTTCAGTAAATCAGTTACTAGTGGTAGTGGAGATCCGGAAGCATCAAATTCAATGATGAACATAAGTAATGTTGGAGAAATGTCGGATGGGACGACCACCATGGATAGCCATAAATCAACAAACACACATTCAGTATGTTTGTTAGTTGTATTTTTTGTGATCAGTACTTGTTTAATTTGGGCAATTTTGGTCCTATAATTGTTTATTTTTTATCGTCATGTATGAAATATTTATGCTTTCTCATATCCTTATTTTATATTGTTTGCATAATTTTCAGTTGCCGCGTATCCTTCCACGATATTCAAAGCTTGATGATTCGTGGCTTGAATCTTTAGATGACATTCCAACAAGCATTCGCGCACTCTCACCCATTATCTCACCGCCACGGCTGAAAAATAGTTTGAGCGCAGATCCGGGTACAAAGATTCAAGAATACGTTGAAAGGTTAATGACTCTAAATTCATATTCTTTTCAAATTGTTAGTGGGAATTAGATCTATGACAAGAATCTTGCTTTGACGTTGATATATTTAACGATAATTGAAGTTGTCAATTGCAGGCTATCACAGGAGGAAAACACAGTGTTCGGTGCTACGTTACGCCGTTTTATTGAATGCACATTTGAAGCAGAAGAATGTGATCCACAAGTAATCTTTTTATTGAATGAATGATTTTTAAACCTGATCAAACAATCCCTAAATTTAGGCGAATAATTTTAAGGAACTCGTACGGCTGAATGTTAATGAATTTTTGAATATTGATATAATTTTAACAAAGTGGGAAAGACGTCCAGGTTTTAAATCGTAGAAATAGTATTATGCAGCGTTTTAATGCATACCGCAAAAATTTCGAATCATTTAGCAAATTCAAATGAAATGATTATTTATCTTATGAAAATATGCAAGACAGTTACTTTGAAGCATGATTATAGGTGGTAATCCGAAATGTTCGACAGTTTTTAAATGGTTTGAAAAATTATTTGGTAAAGCACGGAGAAGGTGAACTTCATGATCTAATTGAAAAAGAACGCGCGCGGCTGAATGCTAACGAATTTTTGAATATTGATGCAATTTTGGAAGCTGTTTTGCACAAAATCGTTCTTTGCAAGTTTTTTTTGGTATAATGATCATATATTTAGTTCGAAAATTTGCTTGCGTAGGACTTATGGAAGAAAAAACTTTCCTACTAAATTAAAGTTTTTTTTAAATCGTGAAAAAATATCGTCCTTTTTATATTTATAAGAAAAATTTGATTGAAATAATGAAATTTAGACCCAGTAAAACCCCATCTTTATCATTTGATGGTACGCGAATACTCAAAAAATGGTTGGCTTCAAGCGCTTTCGGAAAATCTTACTTATGTCCGAACTTTGTCGCCAGAGCAGTTAGGTTTT